TGAGCTAATTACTAGCTATGCTATCTGGGAAATTTAAGGTTATAGGTAAATCAGACCCTGGAGAAATTATGAAATAGGCAATGCATGCATGTGGGACCCATTCCCCTATCTCTCTCTGATCATTCCCCGAGTCCACAAACCATATATCCATTCCAGCCCATCTCCTTAGGCCTGCCCTTCTTCTCCAAAGGGCTTCAGTCTATAAAATGTCCTAAAACCTTCCTCTCTCAGCCCCTCCCTTCTGAAAGCCCCACCCAATGCAGCTGACCTGGATTAGAGATAGGAGAACATCTGAATGAGCTGGTTCACAGTGATGTGTGGATGATGAGTGAAAGACAGCCCCTTAACCCTCCAAATAGGCACTTGCCATTTTTAAAGAGGCTGCCCTAGTAGCCAAAAGAATCTGAGGGCCATGCCTTCTTCAGGCAGTATCCGTGAAGAGCAGGACAAGGCGAGATGTGCTGGATAGGGTCAGAGAGAGGGAACAAACAGGGCAGACCCGCCATCTGGGAATCTGCTCGCAAGATAGATGGTTCTTGTTTTTCAAAAGTTCTTCCTATTCTCCACACCAGAACCACTAAAACTCAAAAATAAACAAATAAAAAAGAGAAGGTTTTCCCCTTTTCCCCCCAGGAGGTCCAGCTGTGGAGAAGGGGAGGCAGAGTCAGCCCTTCCAAGGCCCGTGGTTTCCACTCTGGACTGTGTCTCTATGATCATCGGACTGAGGCCAGAAAGGACTGCCCAATGGAGAGGTCGCCTTTCCTGTCTTTCCCACTCTCCTCACCTGCTCCCCACCATTCTATAACCTCTCAGTGGTTCTTGGGTTTTCATAATTTACAATGCCAGAAAATGCTTAACCTTAAACACTTCTTGGAATGGTCACTCTTTCTTCCCTTAAATGGTTCAACCCCTTATCTGCCTGACCTTTTCTCAGAGTGAGGTCTAATAGCTTCTCCTTCTAGGAAGTATGATAATAAATAATACTTTCATCTTAAATTATGAGACATCACCACTTCAAAAGAGTGGGAGCTGAAATTGCTTTCCAAGCATCCGGACAATCACAAAATGAAATCATTTAACTTCAAGGAAAGCTAATTTGATTCAGTTCAAATGTTGCTATCTCTCCTTTGGGGAAGAAAAAGACTTTTTAATAATCAAGTGAAAATTAGCTATTAAAGAATATGGGTACTTTTAAAATGTTGATTAATACTTTTAAAAAGATATATTCTTCAGAGAAATAAAAAAAATCTTTACAAAATTCCATCAAGCTAGGAACTTATCCTGTTTTATTAATTTTAAAACATCTTTCTTCAAAATATAGGGGAAACAAAACAATTAGATTATATGCTTGTTGGGAAGACACAGGAAGTCATAGGAAGGGTACTGCTAGACAGGCTGTGTGGGTTGGTGTCCCTTTGACCTGGGAGAGAGGCTGGGGTGGAAGGGAAGGTGTGGGGAGTGATGTTGGGCCCACAGCAGTTGCCAGTCTGCTTCCCACCTTTTTCCTTCAGAATAAAATGAACATAAAGGGGATGGAGCTTTTCTGCCTGATTGGCCTCCCAACAGGGTAGTTTATGGGTTGATTCCCTTTGAAGGCACCAGTTGGCTGAGAAGATGCCCCCTCTGGGATGCCCTGTGGACAACTCCAAGTGTTTCCCCAACACTACCAAGCAATTAACTCAATTCTGACACCATCTACCTGGAAATAGCATTAGATCCCACAGGTTAAAGCCTTAGTGCTACAAACCTCCCTCACCCTCTTAGGCACCAGTCAGAAGTCCAGGCTGTCACTGGTGCTTCTGACTGAATCACCTGTAGATCAGAGGTTCCCAGGGCTCCGTCTCTGGGTTAGATTAACTTGCTCAAGCAGCTCGTAGAAAACTCCAAGGAACATTTTACAAGATTATCAGTTTCTTACAAAAAGATATAATTCAGGAACCAACAGATGGAAGAGACGCATAAAGGAAGGTATGTGGGAAAGTGCTAGAACTTCCATGCTCTCTGGGTAAGCCACTCTACCCCAGTCTCCCCATGTTCACCAACCAGGAATCTCTCTTTGGGTTTTTATGGAGACTTCATTGCACAGGCATGATTCATTAAACCGTTGGCCATTGATTGAATTCAATCTCCAGCCTCTCTCTGTTCCCTGTGAGGTAGTGATGGGGGGTGGGGGGGAGACTTGAAAGTTCAAACCCTCTAATTATGTGGTTGGTTTCACTGGTAACCAGCACCCATCCTTAGGGCCTTTCCAGAAGTCACCTCATGAACCTAAACTCAGGTGTGGTTGAAAGGGTTTCTTATGACTTATCAAGAATCTTTATTGCTCTTATTTAGGAAATTCCAAAGGTTTTAGGAGCTTTGTGCCAGCAATTGTGTGTGTGTTATGATGTAAATGCTTTTCTTATGGGTGTGGTCAAAACTTGAAAGCCACTGCACTAAAACATTAATCTGTCTAAACCGTAGCAAAACCTTAGTCTACAGGCATACCTCATTTTATTATGCTTCACAGATGTTCCATTTTTTACAAATTGAAGGCAAGATCCTCCACCAGCACAAAGATTGCTACTTACTTTACTTTGAGTCTTGCCTTATTGCCGTAAAGTATTCACAGTATCTCAAAGGTATGCCTGTAGTTAACAACCCTCACTGCTGGTTTTTCTTAAAGTAGTCCTCAGACCTGCTGTGGCTCCTTCCCATCACATCTCAATCGTACCAGTGTTGTACTCCATCAAACGGTTGACAGAGGACTCTTCCTCTACCCTGACATCAGCTGTCTGACGTGTAGCCACAGGAACATGGGTTGACACACCCAGTCCATGCCCCAGCATTTCGGGAAGCTCATGAGGACACCATGCACGAGAAAGTGTAATTAGAGGGATGTCATCATTTAGTGTAAAAGATGACAAAATCCATACCTACACCTTGAGTCATCGTTATATTCCCATCACTAAGCTGTCATGAAATAAGAGACCCTACAATTCACCACACACTTACAAAGATCAATAGAATTGGGAAGAGCACAATTCATTTTATCAACAGCAGCAGTTTCACAGTGAGAGGAAGTTTGGTTAATAGCAGCTGTTACTCTACAGTGTAGAGTCTACACGAAGGCCCTGGATTCATGTTAAGGATCCGAAGATGGATAAGGCTGGGGCTCAAAGTCCAGCAGGCATTTCAGGAAGAACTAGAAAAGGATGCAATGGAACATTAACTGCCATGGTAATTAGTTCAACATCATCTAGAAAATGTGAACAAAGAGCTGTCTTGGGTAGTGTGGTGAAAGTAACTACATTGGTTTGAATCCAGAGATTGGTATTTGCTTCTGTATATTAACTGAAATGAAAAATATATCCTTGGTAGGGTTAGGGAGATATGGGGGAGATAAGAGATCAACCGAAGGACTTGTATGCATGCATATAAACATAACCAATGGACGAAAAATTCTGGGAAGGGAGGGCATGTATGAGAGTGGGGGTGTGTGTGTGTGTGGGGATTGGTAAGCTATGTACACATATTATATAATACCTTAATAAAAATAAAAATAAAAAAATAAATAAGTGGGGGGAAATATCCTTGTCTCTGGTCAACTATATGTAATAGAGAAAATGAAAAATTTAGATTCTTACTGAAATGGTATCCTATTTTAAAAGAAAAAATACATATATAAACTTGGAATGTAAGATTCCCTTTGTAGTTTAGAGCTAAATTAGCAAAATTAGTGTCCCAAATACTCCTTTATTTGTTAGCTTGCTTTCTGGATGTGATACCAGATTCAAGAAGAAATCTGTGAAAAAGATGGAAGACCTGTGATTTCCTTTCATCTACTGGACATTTTTTCATTGCTGTCCCTGTGGCTGGCGTTGTGGATACTAAGGGAACCTTAACTTTGCTGCTAATCGAGCGAGAGGACTATCTTCTTACAGCCAATGGGTTGAGAAGCATCTAAATCCCACCTGTTTTGCAAGACTTCCCATCAGTTTCTTAGTCCGGGGAAAGCTCATTCTTCAACTTCCACCTCTAATTTACCAGGAATGTTTATGTTTATTCATTAAATTTTCCTGAACGATTCTTTCGCAAGAGAGCCCTTTCCAAATCTATCCTTTCTTTTATAGAATGTAAAATAACTACTTTAAACAGAACCTGGCAGGCAGAAGAACTCAGATGATGGCTCATTGTCTGTTTGCTTGTTATTTATTAACACTTTTATGATAGGCTCATGCTACCAATGTTATACCAATTCACATCCTTGTTAAAATTATATTTTCCTGATATCAAACTGAGCAGGAAGTCTTGCCTCCTTTTGAGAATTAAATGCCTAGTACTGTTCTGAAAAAGAGCCACAGTCTTACTGAGGTAGACAGTGCATAGGGGCCGTGCTAGGATGTTCAGTGACCTTGCCCAAAGTCCCAGCTGGCATGTGATGTGGCAGGGCTTTGGACCAACTGGCTTCGGGCGTGCACTGGTGGCCACATTGCACATCCTATGGGACCAGCTGCTTTCGGAGGTGGAGTGCTAGTACAGACAGGTGATACGGAGCCTGCGAAAGTGGACACCAGACTTATGTCCTCTCTGCCTCTGGCTCTTTCTGGCCTCAGGCAGGTCGAAACTTCTCCAGATGTTAATTTCTTACCCAAAGAGAAGAATAGGAATGAAGATATTTTGTCAAATGACCTCTTTATCTTTTAGCTCAAACTCTGAACCGTTTTTTTTTTTGTTTTTTTTTTTTTTGTGAATCATCAGGGAAGAGGGAGGAGAACAATGTTAATAGCCTATCATAAAGAAAAAAGGAATACGTGCTTTTCAGGATGAGTTTTCAGTGTTCCTAAGGGCATCGTGAAGATCCACAGAAAGGAAAGGATGAAGAACTGGATATGATGTTCATCTGGAGAAGTAAAAGCAAAATCAATACCAAAACAAGAACTTGGGGGAAAGAAAGATACAGATTTAGTGCTCCCTCACAAATAACATAGAGTATCTTACCAAACTCTCTTTCACGTCAGAATGAAGAAATACTCGAATGCAGTCGTGATGGGGAGAACCCTGAGCAGGAGGAGCCTGACAGTCCTGAAAATCTTTCCCCCCGCAGGTAAGATTGCAGATTCCTTTAGAGAGTCATTTTTAATCCCTTGGGGTGGAGGGATAGGGTAGAGTATCCTCTGTTTTAAATCTCATCACTTATCTTTCCCAGATAAAATCACAATTATTCTATATACTAACCTTCACTTATCTACCTGAGAACAAAAACCCATGGATCTCATAAAAGCAGCAAGCAAGACCTGAAAATGACATCTTATAAACCACATTTCTAAAGATACTCAGTGTTTTAAAAACATGAATTATCAAGACAGTAGTAAATGCCAACTATTGTTGCTATTAATTGAATTATTGGTTTAAACCTACTTAAAGGCAGTAGGTCCCCAAAAGACACAATTTACACAAACTTAATGCTATTTTTGGCAGACTGAAAGGTGTTTGCAATTCATGTGAATGCTCAGCAGTTCAGTGGAAAAGACCAAAAGCAGAAGGGGAAATTCATTTTTTTTTTTTAAATCCTCTATTTAGAATCCCCATCATTACCTGCCTCGGTTCTAGCACTCGTCACATTTTTTATGCTCACACCATTTGACTTACTGACTTGTGAGTTGTTCTTATTCCCATGGTCTGTCATGTTTAGCTCTTAACATGCTTCTAAAAAGTACTTGTAGAATGAATGAACAAACATTTTTAGGAACTTGCTTCTTGATTAAAGCCAGTATTAATTTGACTACTTGATATTCTTTTACTTTAAGGAAACAGGTAGGCTCTTACTGCTGGAAACGTAACTTTGAGTCTAAGTAAATGGCTGAATTCGGCATATCTGAAAGTGTAGATAGTTGAATTGTCTCTGAAAAGCAGTACGTGGCAAAGTGTTCTCTCGTTTTTCTCAAGTGATGGTGTATCTTTTGGGACTTTTCTAACTATCACTACAACCTACCTACCTTTATCTTTATAATTTTACTTCTAGAATTACAAATCTTATCTTTATAAAAGTATTAGTTAAACAGGCCCTTTAATTAAACTATTAATTAAATTAGTAAGTAAATTCATTTAATTTGACTAATTAAACAGGTCCAATTAAGTGAATTGTTTTATTAATTTACAGTAGACTATTCAATCATACTTCTAATGAGAACTACAAAGGAAAAGTTACAGCATTTAATGAAACAAAAAATATCTTTATGATTCTTGCAAAAGAACTTTGAAAAAGGCAAAAATAGCTAGTGGATTAAGCATAAGATAGAATTTATAAGACTACTGTTTTTACCACCAGCTTTGAATACCTTAAAATCACTAATTTTTGCTGCAACAGTTTATAATTTGTTGGAGCTGAAGTTGATAGATACAATATGCTTGGTATATGACAAGCATTCAGATTTTATCAAATAAATTATAAACTTTTAAGTAGCATAGGTGAAATGTTATGTCAGATAATGTCCATTAGGATTCTGAGTAATGAATCTTTGTTTCATTTCTGGATGGCTTGCCAAGATGACATTACTTTATTATATTTGAAAAATGATTTTTAAGCACTGTGAAGTCCCTACCTTGTTTTAGTTGAAAAAAACACACACACATGAAACAATTAGTAGGTAATAGTAATATATGTGATAAGTATACATTTATAAGTGTATATTTGAGGGGGGCAGGAGATGCTTTATAGAACAGTTAAGTTTGCATTGCCAAGATTTCAGTAGCTATAGGAGACAATGTTTTTGGCAAGGGAAATGAACTTACCCACGTGTCAGGAATGAGATTTGTGATGGATAATAGTGGCAATGGAAAAAATAAAGCTACAGGGAATGAAGAAGGAAAGGAACATTAGGTAAGGCCGTGGGGAGCAGGTAGAAGAGACTAGACTTGATGCTGGGGGCAGTAAGGAGCCTTGGCGGTCTGGAGCAGAGGATTACCAGAGAGAAAGCTGTGACCGAGGCTTGTTTCAGTGCACCATGTGGTGACTGCAGGGAAACAGCCAGGGAGCACCTATCCTTCCTGATTATTACAGCAGAATGAATTGCCTTGCATATCAAGAGTTCTCTGGTCTGATTTTCATTGCAGCTATGGCATTCAACAGAAGCCCACATACCGTATTTTTCGGACCATAAGACGCACTTTTTTCCCCCCAGAAGTGGGGGGAAAAAGTCCCTGCGTCTTATGGTCCAAATATAGCCTACACATATACTTTAAAAAAAAAAGTTTTTTTACTTGCCCGGCTCTGTGTGGTCTCTGTGTGCTTGCCCGGCTCTAAAATGGTTCTAAATGCTGCTGTTTACTTTACAGGGTTGATTACATGTGTTTATGACTGTGATGTTGGGTTTTAATGCACATAAAATATTTTAGGACACTATTTGTTTCAGAATCTTTTTTTCTTCATTTCCCTTCTCTAAAAACTGGTGCGTCTTATGGTCCGGAGCGTCTTATGGTCCGAAAAATACGGTATATGTCAAGTTCTTTAATTCTTCCAAGGGATCGTCATTTGAGTCCAAACTACAAACCCCCAACCATGCCTTGCAAGTAAAAAGTTTTACTACAAGCAAATAATTCAGATACTTCCAAGTTTTAAAAAATATATACAGAATGACTCACAGCCTATTCTAAGAAGTGAGCAGGAATTGGGTGAAAAGCAGATGAGAACATACCATGTAGAAATGTACTGAAGCACCAAACACTCCAAGAGGAATCTGAGAATATTGCTGACATTAAAAGACCAGGGCTAAATTTTAATCTATTTTGAGGTGGGTAAGGATATCAAATAAAAGGAAAATAGGACCATTTCAAATGGTGTCTTAAGACACTATGGCTACATGTTACTCTAGCCCAACCTAAACAATCTAGAGTTCCCTCACTTAGACATTCCAACCCAAGTCATTTAACAAACAAAAGGAGCATTTTAGGGGCTCCAGTGTACGAAGAACACATCTATTCTAGGTACAGCAACAAGTTGGAGTAAGACTGTGTACCATAGGCCCCTCTGACATGAAAAGAACAAGCTGACTAGATACAAACAAAAGGTGATCACACAGGAGTTTAAAAACCCTTGTGGAAATACACATCTGCTGACAATTTTCAAGTTGTTTATTGTAAATCACATATTTATTTAAAAAAACACTAATTATTTTAACATATAAGCAAAATTCAAATAATATAAATATTTAACATTTTGGTATAAAGTTAATACGAAAAAAGAAAGATGCAAACCACCAAGAGGTAAAAACGTTTTTAGCAATAACACTGTGTACAACCATCTTCTACCCAAGTGACCATCCAAGCTGCTTGTTTATTTTCCCTTCGTTTATGAGTTTGCAGACAGCCCTGCATTGGAGCACCAAAGTTGTACCTTCCTTTTTAAAAGGTGGGAATCCTTATATTGTATTTACAAATAGTCTTCTTCAGTACTTTTAAGTCTGATGAAAGAAGCATCTGGCAATTTCCTACTTATTAAAAAAGGAAGTGCCTTCATATTTCCTTTAAATTTAAATGTGTTCTATTTTAAGCAAAAAGAAAAAGATGAACACAGTTGAGGAGAGCTCTTTCACAAATAAATAATAGTTTCACAGAAGTATTGCTGTAAACAAACAAGATCATTTCAGTGGCCAGGGAGATGCTGACATTGTCAATCAAAGAAACATTTAAACAGTCACAAGTACAGCTACACAGGGTGTTGTATGGCCAAAAGGCAAGCAGTTGTTAGAGGCTCAAGTAGTGAAAATTAATTATAAATCTGCTTTGTCAAACTGTGCTTTTATCCTCTTGTTTTTTAAATTGGTCAGAAATTTCAAGCTGTAATCTAAAAACCCGAATCTACTCGGAAGGGAACTACGAACTACAATGGTTGACACTGTAGTTTTGACATTATTTAAAAATTCTGAATTATCTGAGCAATGAACGTAAACAAGCCTCAAATTTCAAAATAGAAAGATTTCTGTAAACATTAAAAAGCTACCTGCAAAAAAAAAAAAAAAATTATATATGCCATCATCTAGCTGTGTTTACTGAGGATTCTTTTTTTAGTTCTCTTTTGTTTTTCGCGTTTCAAACATCATCTAATTACACGAGAGACTTCTCGTTGTCCCTAACAAGCACCTCTGCAGACAGAGGTTCTATAATCAGTACAACTGCTTTTGCTGAAGTTGCTGTTTTGGCTTTCACATGACCCCCCCAATAACAGACATCATCCCGTTCTTTCTGCGGTGAGGGGAGGCTGTTGGCACTGTGGCACCTTTCTGCCCTGCTTTGTAGAAGAAATGGAAGTCACAAGTTACTCTATTCTACCTCAGCCACACCTCCTTGATTATAAAGAACACAAGGAGCCCAGTGCACGAAATTCGTGCATGGGAAGGGTCCTAGGCCTGGCCAGTGATCAGGGCCGATCCGTGGGGCGACTGGCAGGGAGATGGGTTTGGGGGCTGCTGGCACCCGCCTTGGCTGGCCTGGGGATTGCAGGCTGGGGGAAGATTCTGTGTTGAGCACCTGTCCCCTGGTGGTCAGTGTGCATCATAGTGACAGGTCATTCTACCCATCGTTCTGCGTTTGGTCAATTTGCATATTAGGCTTTTATTATATGGGATGTGGCTTTATAAATGCTTTCAATCTCATTCTGACAACTTTCTATCTTTCATTCTGACTTCAAATTTAAAATATTTAAAAGCCAAAGATTCGTCTAATGGTTATTTTGATGAAATTGATTTTTTTAAAGATACTGTAGTTTTGGTGTGATGTTTAATATGCTCAATTTTAAAATCTGAAACTGGAACAAAATACTGTGGTTTAGAGACCTTGTTGGGGAGGTGTAGGCTAATTTTAGTAACCATTACAATAATTTAGGTATTAAGAATTTTATTTTATAATTTATAAAGAAAAAATTTTAATGTTCTACCTTTCCTTTGGAAGTCTTCATTATTTTATTTGAATGCAAACTACATTCAAATAACTACCTTAAAAACAGATCAATATGAATATTTAAGAACCAGTTGAAAAATTCATTGAATTAAAGTTAATATCAGCTTATTTGAATTAACAATGATTTCTTCCTACAGAGGGATCTTATGGGTAGCAAGCTGCCATGTTTTGTGTCATTTTCTACATCATATATATATATATATATATAACATTACCAGTTAGGGCAGAGCTAATGACTTCTCCAATTTTATATTAAACTGTGTGTGGGAGGGGGGGGGGGAGAGACATAAATATGTTTTAAATGGCCCTAACACTATCTATTGATACATGGATGTGACAATAAGTGATTTGGCTGTTTGTAAAGAAATTGTACAGAAGTCCTCATTTAACATTATCAATAATTGGAACTGCAGTGGAACAATGTGTAATGAAAAATTTTTACAATAGGCTAATTGATATAAACAAGAGTTAAGTTCCTACAAAATCTCATCAATGCTATAATAAAATGGTGCTTGACAAAACCAGGATATTTGAGGACCTGCTATAAATTTTCCTAAATCTCCTCTGAAAAATACAAGGCTTGCTTTTACCAAGTGCAATACTTTCTCTTATGCCAATCCTCTGCTGCCTCCACCATTTCCATCAAGTGCTCTTTAATAAAAATTAAGTTGTATACCTAGTTTAACAATATATTCCTTTCTTTGACATTTGGTTGGTACTTTCCAATGCAGTCATTCTAACACTATGGTTCCTTAATAACTTCTTTATGCTGCAAATATTCATGTGGCATCGAGAACCTGAATTTCCCTTTAGTTTTGTTTTCACAAACCTTTTCTACATATAAATTCCTTGAAATGGATTTAGGCAATGAAGTAGAGAACGTATACTGAATAGCTTCTACAATCAAAGAAAAATTCTGAGAGACTGCACTTTCAAAAGATTTCTTTGTTTTGTTCATATTCATCTTTCATGTAAGGTGTAGACAAACATTTAAAGGTTTTTTTCATCCAGGCTTGGCTCAGTGACAGTGGAAACATACAACATTCAAGTACTATTAGACAAAGGCAGCCCTACAGGGGTATGTGTCCACATAGGTCAATTTGCAAAGGAGAACTATCTTCATCATCTTGCAGTATAGCTGGCCAAGAAAACCACTGGCAACTGTTTTCACTTTCGGGTCTGTGGCATCCTCCCACAGGTCCTGGAGGTCGTGAACATGTCCGTGGGATGTCATCATTTCATTGTAGATGCAGGGGTGATAAGGGGTCTTTCCTTCCCCCGAGAAAAACACATGGTCTTGTGGTACTATCCCCATTTTATTGGCACAGAGGCCCATGAACACATCATCGATGTAAAGACTAGAGTTGAGTGTCTGTGAGGCCATGTAGACTTTGGCAGCCACATCACTAGAGATCACGTAGGCAGCCCCAGCAGTGTAGTCAGGGTAGGCTGGCCACTGGTACATTTCATAGGAGACATAGTACTTGCTGTGTTTGTTTCTCACGGGAGGGGCACCGCGATGAACACGGCCAATCCAAAAGTCTTGAACGCCCATCTGTTCTAAACTCTGGAGGTATTCAATAAGGTTGGGCATGTGAATAAATATGTCATCGTCCGCAGTCATGAGGAATTTAGCATGTGGACAGAAGGTATTTGCCCAGCTGAACTGCATCAGTAATTTAAGAGTGAGATTGTAGAAAGAATCGGCAAAGTCTTGCTGAATTATATCGTTGTACATCTGGTCTTCCCAGACCAATTCCCTTTGCAGTTTTTCTCTCGTCAGTGGGTTTGAGGGTGTTCCTAAGGCAAACAGAGTTTTGATGTTGGCATTCAGTTGAGACCGAACATACTGCTCATTGCCCCATGTTTTCCTGATTGTAGAGCGTCGGTTGTAGTTTTCAGGAGCCGTCTTTACAAACAGCAGAAGGAGGACGTCCTGTGCTTGGCACTTCTCCTTGTGGTTAAGCAGGTACTGGTAGTGAGGAGCCCCATCCTCGCTGCGCTTAAGAGACAGGCTCTCGTTCACAAAGTCGTAGCTGTTGATGAGGTATCTGTAGGAGTAGGATTTCATATGGCTCACGATGTGGTTATCAAATGGTTCCCAAAAAAACATAAGGCTCAGGATGAAACAAGTGGCAAATAACTGGACAAACTGCCATTTTTTCACTCGTCTGCCACTAACAAACATTCTGACGTCGGTTTTTTTAGTGAGGCTCCGTGTTAAATGGGCATTTGCTTCTTCGAGACCACAAAACTGCAGACTCTGTAGAACCGATGTTCATCTTAAGACAGGCTGGTCATGACAAATGGAAAAGGAGCTTCTTATGTCACAAAATACTTTCTTTGAAGACCATTTTTGCTGAGATTGCAAAAGAACGGAACACACGATAGAATGAGGACACTGGCACATCATTAAGTTCCCACGCCGGCATCATTCATCGAGTTCGGTGACTGGCTTCGAGCAGGCATCCCCTGTACTCCCCTCTGCAGAAGTTACGCGTAGCCTGTGAGAGTTGGGGTGAGAAAAGATGACAAGTGAATGGGTTGCCGAAAAGAAATGAACTACTCCTGATTCCTTACAAACTAAATGTAACTGGACTGACCTGGATGGGGTCACGAGGCAGCAAGCATATACAGCTGAAGAAACAAACAGCTGTTTATTTTTTTTTAAAGGGGTGTAGAGGGGAAAAAAGAAAGAAGCACTCTCTACTTTCTTCCCATTCAAAATACAGAGCCCCTTTTCTCTCCTCAACCTTAAAAAAAAATCAATAAATAAAAGCCCTCTAAAATGGCTATCATCTTATATACTTAAGGTTTAAATCTCTCAAATGGGTACATCCAAGACTATATTGATTTGAAATAGGATGAAAGTAACTATACAGTTCAAGGCAGAATAGATGAATGATGAAAAAGGGACAGATCCAATAAAGCTTTCCCCAGGCCAGGAAGGAATTAAAGGAGGATTTTCTTTTTTAAAATCAAGGTTCATAATCAAGGAGTTCAGATATGTTTCTCAAAAGCAGAGTCAAAACTCTCTGTAACCAAAATGACTTTGTGAGGTCCTAATCTATGCAGTCAAGTTCTTTCTGTACTTTTCCATTTGGAAACTCAAGAGGTACTTCAAATTTAACATATTCAAAACTAGGAAGCCATAGGATTACAGCCAAAAAGTGCTGTATTTGTAGTCTGGAAATCTGACCAGCATGGGATCAGCCACCTACTATTTGTTGCACTATATCATGCATCTAACTCAGAAATGTGAAAAATTGGAATAACACTGCCTAACTCAAAGTCTTTATGTAAATTAAAAGGGAATATACATCCTACCTAATAAGAGAGTAAAATGCAAGTTAACCATCACTCTGCTACTACACCCACAAGCCATGCCCACAAGCCACACCCATCAGCCAATCAGAGCAAGTATGCAAATCATCCCCAACCAAGATGGCTGCCACCACAGAGAGCAAGAGGGAGGCTTGGATACCCCCGGCAATGGAGGGAGCCAAGCTTTCCACACACCCTGGCTGGCCCAGGCCTCCGCTCAAGGATACAAAGTTTCATTTATAGAAAATAAATCCCAAGAAAAATGGAGGCAGCCACGGAGCTGGAGGGAGCAGACTAGGGTTGCCCACAGTGACAGAGGAAGCCAAGCTTTCCACCTGCCCTGGCTGGCCTAGGCCTCCACTCCAGGCTACAAAGTTTCAATGATAGAAGGTGAATAAATCCCAACAAAAAATGGCTGCTGCCACAGAGCGAGCAGAAGGCTTGGCTTTGCTCTAGGCTACAAAGTTTCAATTATAGAAGATAAATATATCCCAAACACATCTAGTCTTGGGTCGCTGGGGGGCATGGCTGATCTGAAAACCACCACAGGCCCCTCATCCAGGCCACACCATGCCCCAAAAAAGCCCCCACCCTGATCTGGGACACCCTTCAGGAAAAATCAGCCGGCCCCCACCCATGCACTAGGCCTCTATCCCATCTAATAAAAGAGTAATATGCAGATTGACCATCACTCCAACACACAGGATCAAGATAGCTGCCCCCATGTGGACACAAGAAGGCCACCACAAGATGGCCTGCAAGGGAGGGCAGTTGGGGGCAATCAAGCCTGCCTGCAGGGGAGGGCAGTTAGGGGTGACCAGGCCAGCAGAGGAGGGAAGTTGAGGGCAAACAGGCTGGCAGGGGAGCAGTTAGGTGGTGATCAGGCTGGCAGGCAGAAGTGGTTAGGGGCAATCAGGAAGGCAGACAGGTGAGCAGTTTGGAGCCAGCAGTCCTGGATTGGGAGAGGGATCCCAGATTGGAGAGGGTGCAGGCTGTGCTGAGGGACCCCCCATGCATGAATTTTGTGCACCAGGTATCTAATATATATATATAGTGAGAGAGAGAGGAGAGATAATTACCTGACACAAGACTGCCATTTCTAACCCATTCTATTATCTTATTCCTTAAAACCTGCTGATTCCATTTTCTCCTTATTTGTGTTTGACTATACTTCATGCATCTATGTCAGATATCTGAAAGTCTCCCCTTTCCTCCATTCCATATCCAGTTATTTAATCCTGCGAATTGCTTCTTCTAAATCTCTCTTCATACCTCACCCCCACCCCCACCCCCACCCCCTTCATGTCATCATCACTTCTCACCAAAACCAGAGCAGCAGACTAAATTACCCCTGGCCAACTCTCCAATCAATGACCTTTCTAAAACTCAGATCGAACCAGGAGACTAACTGAGAGCCCTTTTTTAAAATATACATTTTTTTTTATTGGTTTCAGAGAGGAAGGGAGAAGGATACAGAGATAGAGAACATCAGTGATGAGAGAGAATCATTGATTGGCTGCCTCCTGCACACACCACACTGCGGACTGAGCTTGCAACCTGGGCATGCGCCCTGACTGGGAATTGAGCCATGCCCTTCTGGTTCATAATTTGATGCTCAACCCCTGAGCCACGCAGGCGGGGCCAATGGAACTCTTTAAACCCGTCAGGTGCTCTCCACGAGCCAACAATACCAAATGATTGGCTAAAAACACAGCCACACGTGCTGTTTCATACACGCCAGTCTTTGTACCAGCAGTGCTGTGGCCGGCAAGCCTGCCTCTTGCCAATAAGAAGTCTTCTGATCCTGACTGAGCTCCATGTCTATCTCTGGGAAGTCTGAACTGAGACCAGAGCTGTTTCTTATCTGAATGACCCTGGCACCTTCCCACTCCGAGCTTCCAGTACTGACACTTTTATCAGACTGCACCCTGTGAACTCCGTCATGCAAAGCAGGAGGCTGTAGATAGCCTACCCTCAGCATGCAGGTTGACATCTGACACTATAGGTGATCTCTGCCGTAACCGGTTTGGCTCAGTGGATAGAGTCCCAGGTTCGTTTCCGGTCAAGGGCATATATCTTGATTGTGGACACATCCCCACAGGGGGTGTGCAGGAGGCCGCTGATTGATGTTTCTCTCTCTCTCATTGATGTTTCTAACTCTCTATCCCTATCTCTTCCTCTCTGTAAAAAAAAAAAAAAAAAAAATTAATAAAATATTTTTAAAAAAATAGCCGAAACCGGTTTGGCTCAGTGGTATTGCGTCGGTCTGCGGACTGAAAGGTCCCAGGTTCGATTCCAGTCAAGGGCATGTACCTTGGTTGCGGGCACATCCCCGGTAGGGGGTGTAAAATATTTTTTAAAAATAGGTGATCTCCGGATGTTGGTGAAAAGCACCATGCTGGGGGTGGAGCCACCTTTCAGTCCAGCAGCTAGTCACTTGGGAAGGCCTAGGGGTCAGGATGCCCAGCCAGCCATATGCCCTCTCTCTTTTTCCACCACTCGGAGACAGCACCTTCCCCCCTGAAGGGCTGGGTTAACTCCTCAGTCTTCTGGGCCTTCTATACATTGAAAGGGAACGGACAATGCAAGCTCCACGTGGTCCAGGGTGGCTGGGGAGCTGAACCCCCGTCTGAAGCTTCAGGGCAAAGGCCCCACGTCTGTGCCCAAAGACCTCATCCTCAGGTCCCCCACCCTTTGGCACCTGATGGGAAACCATGGGCACACACTGTGAGCGTCCTGCCGTGCCCTCCTCACCTTGGCTGCGGTGTTTCCTTCGGACTTCAAGCCACACTTGCCCTCACCCAGATGACTCCATGTTAAGGGGGCAGCTGCAAAGGGAGAGAAATACTGCCATCAGGGACAGGCCAACGATCAGCCATGTGTGCCTTGGTTTGGCTGATCCTAGACGGCATGCGCTAAGCAGGGTGACAAAAGGCAGCAGGAAGCATCCGTGTCTGAGGCTGGCATCTGCCTGAATTTGCGAAGTCACATTCGTTGGTGGGGACCTGGGGAGACTTCCTCTCAGGCATCAGGGTGCTTGTTTCGATCAGGGCCCGCCTCTGCAGGCTGAAGTCCCCGTTGGCCCCCTCCACCAGACACACTGAAGGAATGAGAGGCTTACCACAAAGGAACAGAGAATTATTCACAGCAGATTTTTAAGACGGCGTGTGCTTAAGAATTCTGAGAATAGCCCTACCAGGTTTGGCTCCGTAGATAGAGCATCGGCCTGAGGACTAAAGGGTCCCAGGTTCAACTATGGTCAAGGGCACATGCCCAGGTTGTGGGCTCGATCCCCAGTAGCGGGGCATGCAGGAGGCAGCCGATCAATGATTCTCTCTCATCATTGATGTTTTCATCTCTCTCTCCCTCTCCCTTCCTCTCTGAAATCAATACAAATACATTAAAAAAAAAAAAAAAAAAACAATTCAGAGAAAATTCTCAGTTGAATCCAACCTGCGGTTTCCCTCCCAAAGACCCTGGAACCGAAACAAAGGCGTGCACTTCGGAACCACAGGCACAAACTAGCGTCCCCTCTCTGAGCAGCTGTGCTCAGTCTGCTCCAGCGCTGGCTGCCGTGGCCCGCTTCCACAGTGGTTGACAAGTCTGACCTTCTTGCGAGACAATCAGTCCACAAGCCTAACTCCTCAGCTTCCTCGTGTCCACGTGACTCAGAGGCCCTGGAACCCCTCCAACGAACTGGGGTCTATCACTCATCCAGCGGGTGTGTTGCTGCTGCTAACATCGCTACCACCTAGCAGCCAGCCCCTAACATTTACTTTATCTCCCATGCTCGCCCCACCTGTGTATTTACCTTAATTTCCTATAGTTCCCCCACTGTTCCCAGCCGACCACAGAGAGTCCGAACAGTTTTATGAGAAAGTGACAAAGCACCTGTCACGAAGCTCGTGACCTACGCTATTTATTTAGGTTCTGGGCCCCACGTAAAGCCCTAACACAAGATTTCTTCACCTGCACGGCGAATCGATCAGAAACATGTGCCAGGGGCCGTCCTGATTGGACGAGGGGAAGGTTTGGGAAAGGTGAACGCCTCCTTTAGAGCACCCAGCTTCTTTTCTCTAACAAAAGAACACCCGGGCGCCTCCAAACGGAACTTAGTCACCAGGCGGCCTTTCCCAAGCCAAAAGCAAGAGATCTATTCCCTAGTGACAACCAGACCATGCTGCCCCTACTCTGGCTTTGCAAACGGAGACCATGCAGGTGTGCACTTGCCCCCCCGCTCTTCTGACTCGCAGTCTTACAGCTTCTCCAGAGCACATCTTCCGGCTCCCGCCTTCAGCCTGCAGGAAAGGGAACCGCGCAGAAGCCCACACGGACCTGCCGGGCCTGGAGAAAGAACATGCTGGGCCTTCCGGGAAACAAAGCCATCCCAGACAAAGCTCGCAGAGCTCAGCCCGGCCACCCAGAATGCTGCGGGTGCAGCTTCCTTTGTGTGCCCGCAGCTCGGCCCAGGGACCAACCCACAGGCTGGAAACGCCAGGGCTACCCCAATGCCGGGCTTTGGGGCCAGATTTATGGTGTGACCTCGGGTGCCCCTCACGGCACTCTGACTTGCAAATGGGAGGTGATATCACTGTATGGTCAGTGAGGGGGATAGAGAAGTTTCCCGTGACTCAGAGCCTACTGGAAATGGGAAACAGGACAAAGAACCGCGTAAAGGAAATATGCAAATATTCAGAATGTAACTTGGGTTTGCTTCTATTGGGATGGAGAAGGAACAGATAGCCTTAATATCCTCCTTCCTAATAGACAGGAGTAGTCAGAGGAAGAAAGAACAGAGGTAGGAGCATCAGAAAGAAGAGGAGGTGGCAGACCCCACCCCAAATACCTTTCAGTCTGGGAGCTGTGCCCCTCAGTTACTCTTAACTGCGGGGCACAGCTCCTTAGACTCTGCTGGAAAAACCCAGTTAGTGCACGTACAGGCTGCCAGTTTCCCAAAACGACCCCCGATTTTGCTAAGGTGACCAGATGTCCCGCTTTTGGCGGGACAGTCCCGATTTTCAACAATTTGTCCCGCGGCGTTTTAAAAAAGCCACCCATGCCGTCAGTTCATTTCTTTGTCGAGTCTCCTTTTGTGATCCTAAAATATCATGCAAACCTGCTACACATTTTGAAGTTTTAATCAGGATGGTGAGGTGTGCAGTATAAGTTCCAGCTAACCAACCTCGGTGTCCAATGTTTCAGGGAGTCCTACAAATACCTGAGTCCTCGCTATGGAAATGGTGGTGCCAGGCCCAGGGGGAGCCGTGCAGTAGTATTTTATAGTCTCCCGCCTGAGAGCATCTGCAATCTGGTTGAGACAAGCCTCATGGTGCCCACACGAAAGCATAGCTCCCAGGGGTGACAATCAAATCTCCACAGAAGGTGCAGGCCGCGTGTCAGCTCCCGGCACAGTCAGAGAGTCCCCGGGGAGGAGAGAGAGTGACAGCTGGGCCGAGGGCCGGAGGACAAGCAGGAGGTGGGCTGCAGGAAGGAAGGCTGTCTCTTTCAGGCAGGAAAGGAAAGAATCGTCCTCGCTTAGTGGTCGGCAAACCGTGGCTCGCGAGCCACACACGTCTCTCTGGCCCCTTGAGTGTTCTAACGCCGCTTCTTCAAAACAGGCTCGCCCAGGCCGAAAACCGACTTCCGTGCACGGGCCACGAAGTTCCAGTGGCACTGTACGTGCGCGCCCGCGTGTGGTGTTTTGTGGAAGAGCCACACTTGAGGGGTTTGTGGGATGTGGTTTGCCGACCAGTACCCTAGCTGGTTTGGCTCAGTGGATAGAACACCGTCCTGCAGACTGAAAGGTTTTGGGTTTGATTCCGGTCAAGGGCACATGCCCAGGTTGTGGGCTCCATCCCCATTATGGGGCATGCAGGAGGAGCCGACCAATGATTCTCTCCTATCATTGATGTTTCTCTGTCTTCCTCTCTGAAACCAATAAAAACACACATATTTTTTTTTTAAATGTTTAAAAAGAAAGGGCCGAGACCGGTTTGGCTCAGTGGTAGAGCATCGGTCTGCGGACTGAAAGGTCCCAGGTTCGATTCCGGTCAAGGGCATGTACATTGTTGCGGGCACAGCCCCGGTAGGGGGTGTGCAAGAGGCAGCTGGCCGATGTTTCTCTCTCATCGACGTTTCTAGCTCTCTCTCTCCCTTCCTCTCTGTTAAAAATCAATAAAATATATATTTAAAAAAATAAAAAATTAAATAAATAAAAAGAAAGAAAGGAAAGAATCGCCGTGTGGCCAATATTGGAGAGACAGGGATGAATTTGAAAGCAGGGAGGTTGGGGCCTGCCCAGGCAGGACCCTGATAATAAGGCAAAGGAGCCGGTGAGTGCTCAGGGCGGCAGGAAGTCACAGAAGATTGTGTTTTCATTACTGGAGAGTTATGTGTACTTAAATGAATTAAGCTTTTTGCAGTATTCGGATTGAGAAGGAACAAGAGTCCTTAACAGTCTCTTGATCTGGCACTGGCCTGTGGTGGTGAAGATGGGTGTACTGGAGAGTGTGTGTGGAGTAGGATTTAGAGGAAATGCAGTTCCATGGGAAGCCACAGACAGGACTTCCTTGCTGATAACTGTCTGCGTGTAGCTGGTAATTGTCTTACTATTCGGACTGATCTGGCAGTGGCCGGCAGGACGGACTCAGACCAGGACACTGGCTCATCGGGCCTTGTGCTGACACAGCACAAGGTGGAGAGGACCCAGCCGGTGTGGTGGGAGTGGCGGGGGTGGCGGGAGGGATCAAGAAGACCCTCAGATCCTCTCAAGGAAAGCAGAAACCCAGCAGCAGAGTGACCTGGGATGGGGGTGAAGGAGGAGGAGGAGGAGAAGGAGGAAGAAGAGGAGAAGGAGGAAAAGGAGGAGGAGGAGGAGGAGGAGGAAGAGGAGGAAGAGGAGGAGGAGGAAAAGGAGGAGGAGGAGGAGAAAGAGGAGAAGGAGGAAAAGGAGGAGGAGGAGGAAGAGGAGAAGGAGGAAAAGGAGGAGGAGGAGGAAGAGAAGGAGGAAAAGGAGGAGGAGGAAAAGGAGGAGAGGGATGAGGAGGAGGAGGGGGGAGGAGGAGGAGTGGGATCTAGTTTCAAGCACTGCTGGTAGAGGAGGGAAACTGGTTTCATTGGTTAATGTGAGAGCGGAACGTGTTTGGTTTTAGGTCTGTATTGAGTGTGAGGTGCTGGGGACACAGCGGGTAGAGAAGTCCTGCAGGTCATGAGGAGGAGGCAGGCAGGACTGGAGATGCGGTGGGTGCTCTCCATAAAGGAGACACTCGGAAGTGTAAGGAACCCTTATTTTATGATGTAGGCACCATGGGGTTCACATTTCCTCCCCGCCACACCCTTTCTTTACGACTTCATTCCCTGTACATTCTAAGTTCAAGTACACATAACCCTCCAGTACTCTCACCTTCACCCACAACCTCTACGTATTCATTCAGAACAGTCTGCCCACCTCTCCCTGCCCCCAACTCCCTCACCCCACCCAGCGAGCTCCTGGCCTTTCTTACCCACCTCCCTGCCTCGGGTGAGGACCATCTGGCCCCTTCGCCCTCCTCTCCTCGGTTCCCGTCCTTCCACCCCAACAGCCCCAGACCTCAGGTCACCCCGTCTCCTCTGCTCCTACCACACCCGCCAGGCTGCTGGGGAAGGTGTGACACCCAGGCAGGAAGCCATACCCAGCTGTGGGCAGGGCACTCCGGGCCGTGTGGCTGTCCTTCACTTGTCCCGATGGCCATACCCAGCTGTGGGCAGGGCACTCCGGGCCGTGTGGCTGTCCTTCACTTGTCCCGACCTCTCTCTCTCTCTCTCTCTCTCTCTCTCTCTCTCTCTCTCT